ATCTAATGGACAGCATACCAACCAGATGCTTCGAGGTCGGGCGCTAGAACGGTGACGCGATTTCTTACTAGGTCTTTAGTGAAATCAAGCCAAACTTTTGTCCCAAAGTTTTGTCGCGGTGGCATTTCCAGATCGTAGTATGCCAGCCACCGGTAGCTCTCTGAAATCTAGGTCAGCGTCACAAGTCTCGTGTCGCCCTATCAAACTTCAGAAACATATCTAAATAGCACCGTCTAAGTCTACCGACAAGCCGAGCAAAGGCTCAAAACGTGACTGTCCCAAACCGTTTTGTCGATGAGTGTAGTATCTTTTTGCTTACACTAAGGATGCTCACGTAGTGATACTTAAGCACCACATGTTTGGGTTCTCGGTGACAAAGATATTGTTAGTAAAATCTCGATCCTAAGCAGTACGAATCGCAGACAGTTTTCTGTGCGTTCCAAATGTCATTGGCAACTCCAAAAATTCACTACGATTTGAAATTCTCTGTTGGAATCTGCGATACTGTACCATGCTGTTTAGCGTGTAGAATATCTTCTAAGAGAAATTGATCAGTGTTTGTCGGTGTTCACTTCATTCCCAGCTGATGATCGAAAAGTCTGACTCAATTGTTGCTCTGCTTGGAAATTCCAAACATAGCAACAATATATGGAAAATGCCAATTCGGGGCCGTTCCAAACAGGTTTTTCTAGTTTTACTTGTATATTTTGTTCTAACGTAAAACGACACCAAGTGTAATGCTAGCAATCAAAAGCTGTCGATTTTGTCGAAATCTCTGGCTATTTCTGAAGCATCTAATGCACAAATACAATAGATCCGATCAAAAAAGCACATCATGAACCCTGCCGATTAGGTACCATTTAACTAACTTGATTTTTCTATGTGATCCGGCCTGTCTCTTAAATGGCACCACATAGATAACTGACAAATCACAACTTTTACATGGAAAACTAGAGTGTTTTATTGACCAAACGAACCGGCCCCTAATTGTCAATCCGGCCCGAAATGGAATTTTTTCCTTATCACAAAACAGTTGCAGTACCACGGAATACCCCATTTTAGATGAAGCCAACTAGTTAAGGCAAAGTGTCAGTTCAGTAGCCTCAATTGAGTGCTTTCATTAAATCTGCAATAACTCGGCATCTAACAGTCCAATTGACACATATGAGGTAGCGTTGAAAAAAGGAGTAACATGCCTAGTTTTGGAATTTTAACAAATAAATCGCAACAGATGAAGCGTTTCTATAAAGCATTCTTTCCGATTTCAAAAAATAGTCGTCTTGCCAGTTTAGTAGCCTCCTTGACTTGATCAAGCAATACATTTATACACGAGAAAGGGCGGTACTGGTGCCAGGCATGTTGAGAATAAGATACCCTTCAACATCAAAAAGATGAAGGTGTATGACATAAATTGGTTTATTTGTATATACAGGCCGACTAGACCCAGGCTTCTTGTTCAGGTTGAATCCACGCCTCCAACAAGGGCGACAGTGCTTCAACTGCCATTCTGTTTTGTCCTACAGAAAAAATAATGAAAGGAGGAGCGACGTAACCACTGGCACGACCACACACAACAAAACTGAGGTGAAAGTGAGACTTGATATCACTGTGCCAAACATTCTTGGATCCCTTTGCTGCTATCACGCGCGTTCAATAGCAGCCTCATCCAAAGCATGCATTAGAATAGTCAAGACATGACGTTCCACCTAACTGCAGCTTAAAAAGCCGGTATAGAAGGATAACGGCCTTACGTAGCAAAGGTGCTGGCTGCAGGTGCATTAACGATAAATCTGCAATTATCGGCAGGGTCTGGAAACGCCACAAGGTCGATGGCTTCGACGATAGTGTATCTAACCAATGCAACGCGAAAAGTCTGGGCACGATCGCGGTGTGCTGGCTGAAATGACCTGTGACCTGCAGCCGGGGAGGCGAATTTGCTATGGGCAAAATGCCTCAACGATTCGACCATCATTCTGAAATGTCCCCAATTTTTGTGAACGGAGGAAGTAGAATTTTTAAGTGACCGCAGCACAGAGGTGGATACAGTAGAAGAACCAATCACTTGTACAGTATGTACAAGGACCATGTGAAAATGTTTACGCACTTTTTTAGGGCCAAATTGAGAAGACAACCAACCCAGCGTTCGTTTACTGTTTATGCACCATGTCCAGGTCAAAATGAATGAAACCTCTTGTAGCGGAAGTTCCGAACAAGCCGGTGAGCATAGCTTATAGCGATGCGCCGCTGGAATTGCTTCTGGTCATTCTGAGTGGTACTTTTCATTGTTTTTATACCCGCGGCTTAAGAAAAAAAACGCTCTGGGTAGCACTTTTTGTCTGCACAAAATCAAATCTAGTGAAAGTGCATTAATTATCACTGAAAAATTAAAATACACATGAAGACAGAATCTCGTCGTCACTGGATATTATGCCTCACTATTGGCTGATGATAACAGTATATCATTATTATGGACCAATCATGACGCATGATGACAATGTTATCCCATCTTGAATACTAGCATGAACAGTTTGAGAAAACCACATGCTGCTGGTTCACAGCCTGAATCACAGTGAGCCACACCTTCTGCGTGCATCGATCCACAGACCTGCTGCGTGCGAAGCCACCAGTTCAGTTTTTTTTTCTCTTTAGATCTCAAGTCTTACGAAGTCCTGAAAGCCATGGGTTTAATGCTTCGCTTCCTGCTGCTATCAGTGTTTGCCCTGTTGAGTGTGGCTGTAAAAGCTACAGAGTTCCACCACACCAAGATTTCAAGGACTACCACAAGTGGTTACGGCGGAAGGCTATTGCGTACGGACGCGATGAACGATGACGAATCGAGAGGTCTAACGATGCCCATCGGTTTGAGAATCAAGTCTTGGATTAAGAAGGGAAAGCCTGACGAGTACGTCATGAACAAGCTAAAACTCACTGGGCTGATAGGAAGAGCTCTGACAGAAGACCCGAACTTCAAGTACTTCCAGAAATTTAAGGTCGATGGTTGGCTCAAGAAAGAAGCTAGTACTACGACAGCCTGGGACGATCTTGACATCGCTCTTGGCGAAGTGACCAAGGTGGACACGTTCAGAATATATGAGCAGTATATTACGGAGTTGAACAAGAAGGCAGAGAACATTCATTGGGACCAGTGGTCGAACCTTTTTGGTGGGGGGTCCGAAACAGAATTGGTGGCCAAAGTGTTGATATTGAAGAAATTGGGGAGAACAAATGCTTTCGATATAGGCAACATGGTGGGTCTACTCGCATACAGCAGACAATTTGAAGAGATTTAAGTCTACCGATCCTAGTAGCATCTCCGTTCGAACACGATTCGTTTAGCGTATTCCGAGGTGGCTTTCGGGATGGTTGGATGGACAGGTTGAGAGGGACGTCGCCAAGACCATCCTTGGTCCTGAATTAGGCTCTTAAAATGTTAAATGAAATCCATGATTCATAAAAATAAGATAGCGATATTTGAATGTATCACTTGTAGAAGCACTTTTTTTCTCTTTCCGTTCTAAAACAATTCGTTAAGAGTATTACAGTATCCGTTCTAGGTGAGTGTCAGGATAGTTGCTGGGGTGTAAAGCGCATGACAACAGAGTAAGGAACATTCGAGAGTAGAATGGTCCAACTTTTGAGTAATAGTTTTGCTCGAGCCATACAATTACGCCTTCAGATATCCCCCCTTATTTTATTCGAGGTTACCACGACCAACATGATAAAGGCATTAGACTCTTGTTGATGAAGCCATATCGCTCCTTGATGTGGACAAGCAACATGATCTTACACTGGCAATTTTACACTTAGCCTTTAAAGAATGGACATTATTATTTGCTTTACCTGAGGCCGCACAGCTGTGCTTGGCAAAAGCGGCTTGGCATCGATATCGAGAGTTATGAGATCTTACTGCCATGAACATGTATTACATAAAGATTTCTATACCTTTTTTTTTAGTAACTACTGTCGTCCAGCTGTATCGAAGCGCATCAATTTAACCTACAAGTTATTCTTTGTCCTATAAGCAACATTAGTAAGTTTAAGCTACACTACGAGAACGACTTTTACAACGAATAAAAGAGTCGTTTTTTTTGCAACGAAACGTAAGTGATCAGAAGGTCAAACCGGTTCCCCCACCCTTCAGCACCAACGATGGAGGACAACGATGACAACGACAGCCTCGCGAGTGACTAGCCTCTCAGCGGAGCGGCACTGTCGCTTCAGCTAGAGCAACTCGAGCATCCCTTACACATACACAAAGAGCTAGCTAGATCTAAATCACCCTGTAATGGCCGGTTGCACCTCTCTTTTATCAGGCCTACCGCGCAGTAAAAAAAAAAAACTTAAAGCGCGCTGGTCACCGACCGTAGATTTCAGATAGCCACCTATTGGGATAGGGAGAGACGATGCAAAGTGATATAAAGTTCATCGAGAACTGGGGAGAAGAATCGTAAAGCAGGGAAGACGTAGTCTAGCTGCCCCCTCCAGGTCGCCACGGAGACGTTTTAGGCTGAAGGCGTCCAGCATCTTCTTTCAATGCGGCGGTATGTCCATCGACTTCGTTATCGGAGTCGATGGACATGGGGTCCTATATTCTGATTCCGTTCGTCGTGCTATTTGCCAACGAAAATTTGCGTCTCAAAAAGAATTATCAGAATTTATCAAATTTCATCATATTTTCGTTTAATAAATTAAAAGATACGCAATTGTAGCGATTCAAGCACGCTACGTTAGAGCGGACAGCGAAGTCGTGAGTGGCGAAATTGTCGGGACCAGTGAAAGCAAGAGTTAGAATAGGTGCAGAAGTCCGAGTGACGAGCGCATCAGGCAAACATATACAGCGTCAACATGTACAGCGTCATTTTGCTGCCTGATGGAATAATGTTAGAATATGGAATTCAGCCGAAAACTCGACATTTTCTATGATTTACAATTTCACTTTTTGAAAATGGTTGCGCTGCCATGCATGCGTGTAGAAAACAATTGTCTAAGGATAGCGGTAGTCTGTAGTACACATAGTTGCCGAGTTGCGTCCAGTAAAAAAAAAAAACAATGCTTAATGCCCCAAAAGTGATCGAATTGTTTTAAAATCTTAACTTTCTTCAAACAGTTGTTAAGCGATAATTAGAATTACAAACGTTGTTGGCGTATGCGTAATATGGAGACCATGTCATGTACCTGTAGAAAAGGATGCATGACATTGACAATGATTATAGCAAAACTTACTACTGTTTTCCACTCTTCTCAACTTGGTTACTCGAGCTAGTTATAAGCTCGGACGGACTCGCACACGTTGGCCAAAAAAAGCAGTGGGAAGTCGTGGTCGAATTGACTGAGATCCAGTGGGGGTAGATCCCCTGCATTGTTATGGAAACCATGGAGGTGGACCATTAAAGTCTCACCGTGAACTGGTCGTTGCGCCGTATCGTTGGGTCGATCGGTTCTTCTTGGACGACGCGGCTGGTGAGCGGAGCGGATGATCTGGTTCTGTTCTTCTTCAAGCCGTCGTAGTCTGTCGTCAAACTGCACCGGCGTCACCGAGATCGGATGCTCCTGACAACCTCGTCCAGGACTGCGAGCTGGAGAAACGTCAGCAAAACCGTCACATCCATAGCTTAAGCGAATCCGTACCACCAGCATCTCCAGCCAGCATCACGGCACGTCGGTCCTTGAGCTCAGCGATGCGGCGGCGCACAGAAGATAATTGTCGATACGGCCACTTGCGGATGTGGTTACGTCGACAGATTCGCTTGAGTGCTGCCTCGCAGATTCCAAGTCGTTCTGCCGCCTGAACACAACTCAACGTCCTTCACTGTCATTATCACAGCAACATGTACTAAGCTGTAGAGTAGACAACATGCAGCTTGGACGACGTCGTTGGCTCAACGATTCAGCCGTCCGAGCTCACCGTCTTGAGTGGCAAGTGGTAGACCGTCTGCAACTGCTCCACGTCGAAGTGAATCCGCTGTCGTCGTCGTCTAGAGCGTGTGGAGTCTTCAGCTTCTGACTCGCTTGGTGCTGTCTCTTCTTGCTCTGCGTAGTCGTTGGTAGCGTCACTGAGCGCTGCTTCGTCTTGGTCGCTATCACTGCTGCTGCCAGAGAGAGTTGACGCAGCTTGAAGCGGCCAGGGAGCGCGACGGAGAGACACAGAAGGAGAAGAAGCGCCAGGACGCGGAGGCAATGCGGAACTCATGCTAGAGCTGTCTGAAGAGTGAATGTCGTTGAAGTCGACGCGATCCGGAGCGTTTGGGGCAGGGCAGCTGGAGGTTGGTGGTGTCTCGGTCGGCCGATCTGTTATATTTGAAAGTTGACTACATCACAGACGTCAACAACTTCACTTTGCCTTGGCTTTCACTTCATTATTAAGCAAGTCCAAGTACCAAACAAGTACGTGGAAGTTAGTAGCATTATGACTCTACAGCATTACTATTTTTCAAGGACAATCTCATTACGTAATATGTAATACTTCGAAGTACTAACTTAATATGTGATTTCAACCTTTAATACGATTTTAATGGTATATCCATCGCAGAAGAGTGAGTGCGGGTGAGAAGGAGTTGTCAATCCGTTCCTGATGAACGGTGGGTTCGACGCTGAAGGAAAGCTAAGTGTTGCTATCGACTCGTTGGCACAGAGATCGTCACGTAGTATGACAGTTGTATTATCTGTGTCAATCATGTATACTTCATCTCATGTCAATTATCTACCACGGATAGGCTTCCTCCAAATTGTCCTGGAAAGTGTCGTCATTGAAAGGTACCGTGGCGCTTCCGAAGTCGTACAGGTTCAGTGCAGTGCGTGCAGCCGACGGCATGTCATTCCACATGACCAGGTCCTGGAAATCACCCGCCACCGTCGTAACATTCACATAATGACTGAAGGTCTTGGCTCTATACTGAATTTTGACGCTGTCTTCGTCCACCATGTCTTCAGTCGGAGGAATGATCGTGAAGTACACACCGTCATCGATTGATGATGACACAGCAGTCATTTTTGCCTTTGCAACGCCTCCTTTGCGGTTGATCCACACGATGACGTTTTCCCATGCATGACGGTGACCAAACGCTGCCTTGCGGTCTCTGGGGAAGTACCAGGCATACATGATGGCGTACGAGTCCTTGTAGGTTTTAGCGCGACCGTAAATCTGTGATCCAAGCGCAGACGAATCGCATTTCTTGAAGCTGTAGATGGAGAGACCAGAGTTGGTGTTACCGTCTTCATCAACGGCAGGGAACGGGTGGCAACCGCTGTCGACGTGGAGCTGAGGCTTGAACCGTAGAGCAAGTGAGAACTCGTTGGTGGTGCCCTCGGTTTCTGGTAGCGGGACGACACTGTTATAGGCCAGTTTTTCGGCTTGGGTGGAGGCGAGGAAGCTCGCCGCAACGACAACAAAGCGCAGCATCTTCAGCATTCTTCTTGTTTCAAGGAGGATTGGAGACTGAGCGGCTTAGACGTGAGCAAAGGTGTGCAGGGTTTGAACACATCCGGATCTCATTGCCCAGATGCTCGCGGAATACGGAGATGTTGGAGATAAAAGTGTGTTTTGTGCGTCTATGTGCGATTCTGGACTCTCTTTCTCTCGATATTAGATAACGATTTGTAGCTATCTTGGGCAGAATGACGCCGTACAGTAGTAGAGCGTGTACCTTTGCTTGTAATTCCAAACTACCGCGCTCTGTTGTTAACTGAAACCGTGTCGTTTACATGTACTCGTACAGGTAGGTAACTACGCTGGCAATGTACGGCCAGAACCCGGAATACACCGATTGAAAGTGTTGGAGTTCTCAGCTTTTCGATTTACAACATTTGTATTCGGTACGCGTATTATAAACATTGCTATTTTAATGAGAACTTTCTTGATTTCCTTGATATAAAGTAACAAGGAAATCAATAAAGTTCTCACCACATGGTGCAATTCCAACCAATGGATCCGCCAACATGACCAGTCAAATCCCTGGTCTTCTCCGTAAAATCGGTTTTCGAACCCAGCCGTGATTGGACCAGCGATTACTGTCGAGAGAAGACCCCGTTGATCATGGTGACTCCATCGTGAGCCAACGCCGCCGTGACGACTTTAGTGGAACACACGAGGGTGAATGTTCCTCGGTGAACAATACAGTTGTGCACCTCCAATTCGGCAGGGCGGACCATATCAATAGTGCCAGGGCATAAGTGCACAACGTAAAGCATAAAACAAACGCAAATATAGTTCACTGATATTTATTTTTTTGTTAATTCAGTAGAAAATTTACGTTTACGATGCCTGTGTGGCACCAACAATTTCTAATAGTCTTTGCAGATATGTTGTTCCAGCCTTCAGACAACCACTTCATGGCGGAGTAAACGTTGACCGGTGTGTAAGGAACACCCTTGTAGAACGAGCACGTTCTGAGTGAGAGAGCGCAGGATCTGACTTGTACTTCTCGCACAAAGACTGCTTTTGTGCTAGAG